TCATCCTCTACAACGACGGCACCTTCGCTGACAGCGTTGGCGGCGTTTCCCGTGCCTTGAACAGATGAGGCGTTCATATAAGGCAGAGGCAGCAGGTTTGATAGATTCTGCACCGCAGATGCGGCTCCTTGGGCAAACCCTCCAGCCACCGGAGCAGCACCGTCCTCTGGCTTGACCAGGATCGTTCGCTTAGGCTTGTATTTACCTGTGTAATACTCGACGAACAGCTCCGTCGCCTCGGCAGGGCAGTTTTCAATGAGTACCCTGGCATATTTTTGCATGCTTGAATAGGCCTGTATGGATGGTCAGCAAGGAGCCATCCAAGTTATCAAGGCACTGCAGTTCGCATTCAACTCACCACTTCAGGGTCTTGGTGCCATATGAAATCAAGTGCCTCTGGGTAGCTTTTGGCGTCCTCGATTAAAATGTCCACGACAAGATCTGTCTCGCCATGTCTTCTAGCGAGATATGCTGCCTGCTCGTAGTATCCGCCTTGGCGACACATGGCAATAGCTGTATCCAGATCGAATTTGAGGTCCCCAGGAGACTTGATAAATTTCTCAAGCTTGTCGATATCCTTCAGCTTGGCATAGCAGTTGAGTAGTAGTGTGGTGTGGTCAGCTGTAGCTTTTCTGTGCTCGTGCAATTGCTCTAGATATTGAATGAGGTTTTGTATCCGTTGGCTGTCGAGGAACTGTTCTCTTTGTAAGTGCACGCTCCGCTGTCAAGCATTTAGGAAACTCGCCTACCTTTCGAATAACCTGTGATGGCTCCGTCGTGTCAATGGCTCGGATATACTGGACCATGGCACCATCAAAGTCCGCTTTCGAGTACAAATGGTCACCAAACTTGCGGTAGATCAGGCTTTGCTGAGTCGCATCAAGACCCGAGTTCTGTGCAAGTTCAATGGCCAACGGGTACATGTTGCGCTGGTAAAGCATCTCTAGACGTTGCTGGAGGGTCCTTTCGTGATAGCGGTAGATCTGCCCAGTGTCAGCCAGTGAAACCTACACGAACCTTCCTTCAGGTATCGTCACCTTTCCGTCCTCACTCAGCGAGTACAAATCTCCCCAAACCTGAAACGCAAAACGAGCAGGAGAGATCAGCGTCTCCGTGTGAGCGATGATCCGTAGGTCCGTCTCCAACAAAACAAAGGTTGAAGCATTGAACAGCGCATCGGTCGCCCCGCCACCAAACCGTCGCCTCATGCTATCCGGATCCCGTCCATTGATGCTTGATGGCGGACAGGAGAGCGCGATATACTCCTGGAAAGTCGTGACAAACTTCTTTGGTGCCTCGTACGCCTTGGGAGGTCCTCGACCGTCCAAATTGTAGGTGTAGATCGCATCGTCCCGGGCCACCACAACATCCCCCGTCCTCTCGTCGAGCGTCATGCATTCCCATGCGCACCCTACATCCTCCACGGTCTTGGGTGGTAGGCCGTGGCCCCTGCTGGAGAGTCCGAGCTTGATGATTCTCGACGTGGTCGAAACGAACAGGGTCGAGAGCTTTTCGTCGGCGAGCAGCTGGACATTGGTAACAGGTTCCTCCGACTCGTAAACGATGCGCTGCTTGCTCCCCAGGTCGCGGACGAGGTCACCGCGGATTACAGTCACCGCGCCGTTTGCGAAGCCGACAGCAATCTGTGTAAGGTCCGCCGTAGCCGTGAACGCCGAGATCTAGCCTCGAGTTAGCACAATCCCAAACTTCGATTCAAGCTCAGTGTATGGCGCGTACGGGAAATCGCCGTCTCGCATTGCTTATGTGTACGGTGCTCAGGCACGTCGGCATGTTCGTCTTCTTCACAAGCTTGTCGAGCGCCCAGACCTTGAGCACGGGGTCGTTGATCAGGTCCTCCTACACAGACAACTGTCAGTCACCCTGGAAGATCGATACTATGTATACAGCCCGGGCGCGAGACCCAGGGCTCCTCGTGTGCTCACCGAGACGCTGACGAGCAAGCTGGTGCCCTCGACCTGGCGCATATGCTTGATCTCGGCATCGTGCGCCTGGAAGGTCCGCACGACCTTCCACGCCTTGCTGATGATGCTGATCGTTCCGTCGCGCGATCCGAGGAACAGGCTGTCGGAGCCCGTGCAGACGCTCGAGACATCGCCGCTCTCAAAGACCTCCTTCGCATCGTCGTAGGGAGTGACTTGGGCGACTTCGAAGAAGTCAAATGACTTCCACTGTTGGCCGGGACACAGTTAGTTACGGCCTCTCGACGAAACCAGGTCGGGAAGATCAGGATCTTGCATACCGATATTGCCATGCTGCTGCATTCTGTAGTGGACGGATATGTGTTGCTGTCAAGGCACGGAGCTGGAGGCGGGCGATGACGATGGTCCAGTTCAGGTGGCAGCTCAGCTCCGTAGCCGATGGGGCACATGGCCGCCTAGCCAATTGCGTGTGGCGGCCTGGACCTGCAGATATTCACCCCCCTGTAGCACCGCAACTCCATCAACTTCGACACGGAATTGCGATAGAAGCTCCCAGATAAGTCATTGGCTATTGTATGTATAATTGTACTATGGAGTTCAAGTTAATAAGTATCCATGTTCTCAGTCCCGATCACTCGGATATAGGCACCATCATCACGGAGACAACAAATGATCCTTTTATTACTGTTTATAAAGCTGTGTCTAGACCAAAAGAATCCTCAATAAACAATAAATTCATGTCTGCCTCGCTCATAGACTGACATGTACGCCAAGGAAAAAAGTAAACGAGGGTATCATGCACCTGATAGCCGAGAAGCAGCTTCCCCCCTCCCAACCCATTATCGTGGTCCCTGAGCAAAACGGCCAGCGTCCGCTGCTTCATATTATAAAAAAAAACGTACCAATTGCTCACCTTCGGGAGCTCCAAAATTTCCATACATTGATTGACTGAAACAAATGAAACGTGCATGCATACAGTGGGCTTGTAACGGCCCAGTTAAGGTGTCGTAACCTTGTTTTCCTTGGGGGAAGGTCCGCCGACATCCTCCTTCTCGTTCTCGTCAAACTTGTCGTTGGGGAGCTGGCTGACCAGGGGGCTGTTCAGCGAGGTAGTACCTCCCGGCGTAGTGACACTGTCAGTTCGGACATGGCTTGGGCGGGCGCTTCTGACGCTAGCTGCATCCCCTTGCTTTGCATAGAAGCTGTTCCTATCGCCAGCTACGGCAGAGTAGATGCTGCTGCGCTCAGCACCCAAGCGCGAGCCGCTCGCTTGCAGGCCTGGGGTGGTTCCAGACTCGATATTGGCACTGAGAACACTAAGTGGCAGACTCTCCCGACTACCTCCCCAGACTGAAGACGGTGCAAGGGCTCGAACAGACGCATCGGTATCCATCGACCGACGACGGCGCCTCTTGCTAGATGACGCGAGAGTCAGGATGGATGCATTGTCGGTCAGGAGCCCGTTTGCAGTTGCTGCCGTGTATGTGTTGGGCATGCCTGTTGGTGCGAGGTGGGCCGGAATTGCGGATGCGGGCGAGTTAGTTGGGAATGGTTGGCTGAACTGAACAGACTGTACGTTGTTGGCCAAGGCATCCGTCCCGTGGTGAGCTCCGTTGGGCACCAAAGTAGACTGAATGGTTGTCAACGTGGTCGTCAAGGATCTCACAGAGGGAGCCGGGCTGGAAAAGGTGCTGTCACCGCCTCTTCGAGAGTCTACTCCTCCTCCAACAGTTCGGCTAGTGCCTGCCACGGAGCTTGCCCCATGGCTGGGCGCAGTTGTCGAGCCCTCGTGTTCGGTTGACACCGTCCCCGCGACACTCCTGCCGCCGACCGTTCTCCGTTCGGTATGATAGGCGGTGTCGTTTGTCTGCTCTAAGGTGATGTGGCTTCCAGTCTGTGGAGTCGAGAGGGACGCGGCACTCTCTTCGGCCGTATGTTCGACGCCAACCCTGCCGGACTCGGGATAAGGGTTGTTGAGCTTGGTGCCGTGCTTCTTCTTGCCATTGCGGCGCGGGCGGTCCCCATCCGATGAGGATTTGAAATTGGCTAGCTTCTTCACCCAGTTCGAGAAGGGCCTTCGGCGGTGAGCCTGGCGCTCTGCTATTTGTCAGTTTACATGACCCAATGCGCGCGAATCGCTGCTGGTGTAGTGGGCGGTGGGTTGGCGATGAAAGGCCGCCCACCACAGAGGCCCGGAGGCGACCTAGAGGCCGCCTCAAAGGACACGACGCACCTTCAGGAGCAGGGAGAGTATCAGTCGTCGCCATGAGTAAGGTTGAGAATGGGCGGGGTGCGATGTGCGATAATGCAGGTGGTGTCTGCAACTTGTTTCTGGTTAAGATCGAGGGTCGTCGGAGGGGCGCAATCCAGACAGTCGGTGAGGGCGGATAGGGAAGACTATAGCGACAGTGAAAAGAGAAGCCGAGATGGTAAGGAGAGAATTCTACAGAAAGGAGATGACGAGACGTCAGGAGAACAACAGAATGATGTTGGACGGATTCGGGTAGAGTCAGGTTGTTAATTGAGGGCGGCGGAGCAAGCAGGGTGGGCATCCTTCCTTCATGGGGGTGGATCGGCTCAGAATCAGTCATCCATCCATGGGACCTGAAGCTGTGCCACCCAGGCAAGCTTTAGGCGCCCAATAAGGCCTGACAGGTGCCGCTGGTGGCCCGAGATGGGACTGATGGGCCCTGGCAGATCGGCTCCACAGCGCTCGCCCACTGAACCGTACCTGATACAGACACCGAGCTACAGGACGTAGGTTCGATCCAGCATATGGCTGCCCAGTCAGAGAGCAGCGTTGTTTCACGTGATGTCTGAGACTGGCACTCGCTGAAGAAAATGGAAGGAGCATGAAACTTAATCGACGTCCACCAGAGTCTTCTCTGATGCCGATCCGAGTGAGGGGAAGGACCTTGTACGCCTGCTACCTTGTTCTATGAGCTGCATCGGCCATGACTGCTGTTAGCGAGCGTCTCCATCCGAAAAGAAGCTCAGCGCCAAGACCTGCTGGACCCCAGAAGGCTGCATCCGCGGACGACGGGACGTCATTGCTGCGCTTCAGTCCCACGTTCGGCAGCCCTTTTCCCGACCGCCCAGCCCCCCTTTAGCCGTGCCACCAACCAGTTCCTCCATCATGATCTTCAGCTGGCCATGTCCATCAGGCAGCTCCCGGACCATGTCGTCGGCAAAATCACGTCTTCCATCGTCATCACATCCCTGAACGGTGTCGTAGTCGGTCTCCTCAAGAACTCTCTTGATGCCGGCGCCACCAAAGTAAACGTTACTGTGGACTTTACTAGGGGTAACTGCACAGTAGAGGACAATGGGTCAGGGATACCTCCTTCGGAGTTTGAGCCCAGCGGAGGGCTAGCCAAGCCGCACCGTAAGTTGATGGCTTGTTTGAATCCATGGACCTGCTTGTTGACCAGCTTTTTAGATACCTCCAGGTTTCCGCCAGATGAACATGTCTATGGAAAGCATGGTGATTTCCTTGCTTCATTGGCCACGGTTTCCCTGCTCCTGGTGTCGTCCTGCCACCGACATCATGTGTCTCATAACTCGTTGATGATTCACAACTCCAAGCCAATTACAAGGCACACTCCAGCTCCTCCCGAGCACAGGATTCAAACTTTCGATCATGGCACTCGTATATTGGTTCGTGATCTATTTGGCTCGATGCCAGTGCGGGTAAAGCATCGAGCCATCCTATTCTCCGAGCGCCAGAACTTGGATAAGCACTGGTCGCAGCTTGTCCACGATATCGTCGGTATCCTTATTTCGTACCCTGTTGGCATTTCCCTGTCCCTGAAAGACCTCACAGTACAGAAGGAGCTGCGGTTGAGATCTGCAGATGCATCCGACATATCCATCAGAGCGTCTAGGATCATTTCCCAAGCATTTCTTCCTGATTCAAGAGATGGCGGCTGGATTCCCATCTCAGGCTCTGCTGGGTCTATGACCCTCCACGGTTGCATATCCACTCGACCTGCCGCAACACGTCGTTGCCAGTTCATCAGCCTGGGTATCGAACCTGTGGACAACACAGAGGATGCAAACATTTTATATGAGGAAGTCAACAAGGTCTTCAAAAATTCTGATTTTGGTGTTGCCATGACAGAGAACCTGGATCCAAGGGATCCTGCGTCTGCACTTGCCCAGTCGAATAGCAGAAAAGGCATAGACCGTTGGCCAATGTTCTTCTTCCAGCTCCGGAGCGGGTCGTCTGGCGAGTTGCCAGATGTTGATGCTCTATTTGAGAACAAATATCGAGATCTGAAGTCTATCCTTGACCTTGTCAAGGCGGTTAGCTACGGCTTTCTCAAGAAACATAATTATCGCCCAAGAAAGGTCAAGATGGCAGGCAAAGACTCGGCGAATTCAATCAGCAAAGTTTCTGGTGCATCGAAACTAAGTATACGGGGGCGGAAGCAATCAACAACTGGAGGAAGCGTACGTTCGGCTTCTAAAGGAGGTGCACCCAGTATTGGACGCAGTAGCCCGTTTGATGGCTGGCACCGCATGAAAGTTGGCCATGCAGTGAAAGGTGGCGGGAAGGAACACCAGGCAGATACCCCTGGCCCTACAATCTCCAGCAACAATCAAGTAACACCACTGATATCCTCAGGGGGTCGTTTACTACGCAAACCTTTTGCAGAACCAAACACAGCCCCTGGGAGCGGGGACGACATGGAGAGCAACTACTTTAAGGATGTACCTGCAGATGGCCGTTCAATTAATTCCTCGCTCCCATCTAAACTTAAACCGCCCCGGAACACTTCTTCCGACAACAGCAAGGACGAATCGAGCCAGTGGTTGAAAGGAGTGTTGGAGTCGTGGGAAAATCCGGTGTTTGAGAGCGCCCCGACATCCATTCCACGAGCATATAATGATAGCCTAATTCAAGTCGGAGAAGGCGGTGTCCTTTCAAAACACTTTTCTAGGGCTGGCCGAGCAGATGAGGTCATGCTCGAGTCATCATCCATAAGCCTCGCGGGGCGAGTTTCAAAACTGGCCCTTCAGGAAGCTGAGGTTATTTCACAGGTTGATGGGAAGTTTATTCTCGTCAAGCTACCTCTTGAAAACGCCAGTGGCGAAAGCCGCAAGCTGGACTCCCCGGCCCTGGTCGTGCTGGACCAGCACGCGGTGGACGAGCGGTGTCAGTTGGAAAGCCTAATGGCTGATTTCTTTGTCCCTTCAAGTGGCACTTGCGATGTTCTCGAGGCAAGAACTGAGATGTTGGACACTCCGTTGCTATTTGAAATATCAAAAGAGGAAGGCCAAATGCTGGCACAGAACGTTGCCTATTTCTCGGCGTGGGGCGTCAACATAGACATGGAGCCAAATGCCGGCGCAAGGACAGTTGATGATGGCCAAGTCCGGGAAGGTCCATCGTTCATGGCTGTTACTTCGCTCCCGCCCAGCATAATAGCGCGTTGTCGTTCAGAGCCTCGCCTCATCATTGATTTGTTGCGAAAGGAAAGCTGGGATCGGGTTGAGCGTGGCCAGTCAGCCCTTCCAACCTTCTCTCGATCCAGCACGGGGAGCCATCCCATCAGCAACTTTCACGGTTGCCCCAGAGGCATTCTCGAGCTCCTCCACTCCAGATCGTGTCGTAGCGCCATCATGTTCAATGATGTGTTGTCCCAAGGAGAGTGTACAGCACTTGTCGGGAGGCTTTCTCGGTGCGCATTTCCGTTCCAGTGCGCACATGGGCGGCCAAGTATGGCACCTTTAATAGATCTCGGTATCGGTAGCAAGGTCGGCGGGTGGTGCAACGACAAACGGATGATGGATATGTCAACCTGGACTGAGTATCAAGAGAATTGATTTACTTCCAGCACAGCTGTTTGGATGGACTGTTCTGTGTAATGTTATTTGTAGTGTCACAATAAATACCGGTACATGTTTCTGTTTCATACATATCAAGTTCCATATGCCAGCATTCCGACAACGGTCTCCAACGTCACTTTGGGGGAAAACAAGACGCTAGCAGGGGTTCTCATCACAGAATCAGAAAAAGAAAATTGAGATAGCATGGACTCCTGAGAAATCCAACAATGCAATGCAATTGTATGATATGAGTCAGTCAGACTCTTCTAGCCGCCATCGAACGCCTTCAAATGCAAAACCACTCCCAACTCCAGGCTATGAGTTTGTTGTTTCGAGCCAATTGTACAAGTCCACCTGAGGGGACATGAGGTTATAATAAAAACAGAAAATGAAAAATTCTAAAATCGATGGTCGGCCGTTAAAATTTTGTGAAGTTGTTGTTGCTTGGGATCGAGTGACGTGACGAGTCTCAGGCGACAAAAACTTCTGATCCAGTTTTATTCTGTGCAGAGCAGCGGGATCAAGACACCTGCTCTTGTTCTCCTTCTTCTTGTTCCTGTAGCGCAAGGTCCTGCGCTTTCAACACCTTGGCTGCTTCTTTTCGTTCATTCTCCTCGTCCTGCGACATGAGTCTCCATTGTTTGGTGACGGAATCCCAGCGATGACTGCAAGGTTTTCAGTGTTAGTTCAACATTCTAGATAGATTTCATCGGGGTTAAACATACTGCTCCCACTCCTCGGCGACGATGCTCTTGTGGCCGTACTCGTCGGTGAGGATGTCCTGGTAGCTGTAGGGCACGAGGGCCGGGACGCCCTCGAACTTGGTGGGCCTGAGGGGCCAGAGCTGGCGGGCCTCGTAGCGGTGGTAGTTCTTGCAGCTCCAGACGCCCGGGCGGTTCGCCTCGCGCTCGCGGACGCCCGTGATGTCGATGAAGAGCCCCGTCCGCATGTCGATCCAGCGGGCGTCGATGACGTTGGCGCCGTCCCCTCTCGTGAGGTCCGAGTGGTGGGGGTTGACGTCCAGGAGAAAAGTCTTGGTGGCGGGCCGCTCCCAGCCGTCGACGTAGGTGGTGCCCTCGAAGGCGTGCTCGGTGCGGTTCATGCTGTCGCCGAGCCACTGGAGGGTGTCGTTTGAGACCTGGACGTCGAGGTCGTAGTCCCAGGGCATGACCTGGCCGTTCCACCACCAGCCGAGGAGGGTGCCGTGGGCCAGCCACGTCTCGGCGCCGTGGGCGTCGAGGACGCCGAGGTAGGAGCGGATGAGGTCGCGCAGGACGAGGCGGTGCTCGTCGTAAGGGACCTCCTCCTTGAAGTAGCGGATGTCGTAGTGCACGCGGGCGAGGCTGCCCGAGGCCTCGTAGAAGTACTTGGCTTGCTGGTGGGCTCCTATCCTCCGGGGCTCCAGGTGGCTGCTTGAGGCTCCGGTGGCCAGCGAGGGCAGTGCCTGGGCTACGGAGAAGAAGGCGAATACGGCAGTGAAGAGGGATGTAAGTGAAGCCATGGTGGTTAGAGGTTGTGTTGGGGTGTTTTCCCCCGGTTTATCTTTTTTTGTAGAATATCCCTTTTTTGAGTATCATATACAAAGAAGAAAGAAAGAAAGTAAGGCGAGTTGTCGAGGACTGAGGAAGCGCCCGTTGGCGCAAAAGACACCTTGATTGTTGTTGTTGGTTGGGATAGGTCCTTCGGTGGTGGGTTAGGTTATGATAATGTAGAAGAAAAAGAAGCAATCCCATGAAGCGGCAGATAAAGTCCCAGGACCGGGAATAGTATTATATCAATACACCATACCCATGGACGAAAGTGTGGGTAAGGGCATGGCTCTCTGGAGGCGAGCAAGGACAGGTGAGGTTCCGCAGGGCCCAAGCAACACGGCAGGTGTGTGCCGCGTAATCGGGTTTTGTGGGAGGGGAGGCTTGGGAATTGGGAGGGTTCGTCGATGGTCTGATAGCGGGCGCCGATGTGGGCTCGACGGGGGTGACGGCAGACGCAAGCCTATTTCAAACAAGGACCTGGATAGGAGATGAACGTAGATATGTCGAGGTGGGATACGTAGGTGTATGTACGGAGCATGTTTCAAGCGTGGGAGAGGTTATGCTGGCGGCATTGTTTGGGCCAGGAGAGTTGAGATGGTCGGAAAGGACAGGACAGGGCAAGAACCCATGGAGTTGGAGACGGGCCGGGGAAATGACGACGACGACGGCGGTATTTGGGAGAAGAAGGGTGGAAGCACGGGAGCATTTACTGAGTCTGTCGGAAAAGACGGGGATCTCTGTCTGGTCGTCTGTTGCAGAGTGGTTTGAGGCACCGCTACGGGGTTGCTTCAGTGGCCTCCCCCAGCTGCCAAGGGCCAAGACGGCGTGTTGTGCGGCTGCACTGCTGTAATGCTTTCACTGGGCTGGCTAGACGACCAAAGTCCTGCGCAGCTGACAGGAACATGCACGCATCATCGCCGCACCATGCATCATGGGTCTCGCGCCCAGCACAGGCACGGCGGCGCGAGGTGTGGCTGCCGGCCCGTACAGCACAAAGGCAGAGAAGTATCTGAAGCGAGATACGTCAGTCGTTGGCCGTTGCTGGGATCTGGTGGCGCCTATCCCAGTTCGGGGAATGGGTCGTGTGCACTGGAGAATCCGTACTCGGTGTCTCGTACT